TACCTAATTTCCAGTTCTATTATTGGGCTGCTAACTTCCATGTAATTCAGTACTGGGTCCGTGCAGATATCCCACATACAGTGCCTTCAGAAAGTATTTTTTTCTCTCACCTATTTGCAAACAACACCCCATAATGACAAAGTGAAAACATGTTTTTAGGAATTTTTGCAAATGTATTGAAAATGAAATACAGAAATATATAATTTACATAAATATTCACACCACTGAGTCAATACTTTGTAGAAGCACCTTTGGCAGCGATTACAGCTGTGAGTCTTGCTGGGTAAGTCTCTAAGAGCTTTCCATACCTAGATTGTGCAACCATTGCCCAATATTCATTTTTATTTATTATTTTTTTTGACCCCTTTTGCTCCCCAATTTCATGATATCCAATTGGTAGTTCGTCTTGTCCCATCGCTGCAACTCCATTACGGACTCGGGAGAGGTGAAGTTCGAGAGCCATGCGTCCTCCGAAACATGACCCTGTCAAGCCGAACTGCTTCTTGACACACTGCTCGCTTAATCTGGAAGCCAGCCGCACCAATGTGATAGAGGAAACACCGTACAACTGCCGACCGAAGTCAGCGTGCATGCGTGCCCAATATTCTTTACAAAATTCTCCAAGCTATCTCAAATTGGTTGTTGATCATTGCTAGAAAACCATTTTTAAGTATTCCCATAGATTTTCAAGTAGGCCTAACCATTGGCCTCATGGTGAAATTCCTGAGGGGTTCCCTTCCTGTCCAGCAACTGAGTTAGGAAGGACGCCTGTATCTTTGTGGTGACTGGGTGTATTGATACACCATCCAAAGTGTATTTTAATAACTTCACCATGCTCAAAGGGATATTCAATGTCTGTTCATCTACCAATATGTGCCCTTCTTTGGAAGGAATTGGAAAACCTCCCTGGTCTTTGTGGTTGAATCTGTGTTTGAAATTCACTGCTCGACTGAGGGACCTTACAGATAATTTTATGTGTGGGGTACAGAGATGAGGTAGTCATTCAAAAATCATGTTAAACGCTATTATTGCACACAGAGTGAGTCCATGCAATTTATTATGTGACTTGTTAAGCACATTTTTATTCCTGAACATATTTAGGCTTGCCATAACAAAGGGGTTGAATACAGTGGGGGAAAAAAGTATTTAGTCAGCCACCAATTGTGCAAATTCTCCCACTGAAAAAGATGAGGCCTGTAATTTTCATAATAGGTACACGTCAACTATGCCAGACAAATCGAGAAAAAAAAATCCAGAAAATCACATTGTAGGATTTTTAATGAATTTATTTGCAAATTATGGTGGAAAATAAGTATTTGTCACCTACAAACAAGCAAGATTTCTGGCTCTCACAGACCTGTAACTTCTTCTTTAAGAGGCTCCTCTGTCCTCCACTCATTACCTGTATTAATGGCACCTGTTTGAACTTGTTATCAGTATAAAAGACACCTGTCCACAACCTCAAACAGTCACACTCCAAACTCCACTATGGCCAAGACCAAAGAGCTGTCAAAGGACACCAGAAACAAAATTGTAGACCTGTACCAGGCTGGGAAGACTGAATCTGCAATAGGTAAGCAGCTTGGTTTGAAGAAATCAACTGTGGGAGCAATTAGTAGGAAATGGAAGACATACAAGACCACTGATAATCTCCCTCAATCTGGGGCTCCACGCAAGATCTCACCCAGTGGGGTCAAAATGATCACAAGAACGGTGAGCAAAAATCCCAGAACCACACGGGGGGACCTAGTGAATGACCTGCAGAGAGCTGGGACCAAAGTAACAAAGCCTACCATCAGTAACACACTACGCCGCCAGTGACTCAAATCCTGCAGTGCCAGACGTGTCCCCCTGCTTAGGCCAGTACATGTCCAGGCCCGTCTGAAGTTTGCTAGAGTGCATTTGGATGATCCAGAAGAGGATTGGGAGAATGTCATATGGTCAGATCAAACCAAAATAGAACTTTTTGGTAAAAACTCAACTCGTCGTGTTTGGAGGACAAAGAATGCTGAGTTGCATCCAAAGAACACCATACCTACTGTGAAGCATGGGGGTGGAAACATCATGCTTTGGGGCAGTTTTTCTGCAAAGGGACCAGGACGACTGATCCGTGTAAAGGAAAGAATGAATGGGGCCATGTATCGTGAGATTTTGAGTGAAAACCTCCTTCCATCAGCAAGGGCATTGAAGATGAAACGTGGCTGGGTCTTTCAGCATGACAATGATCCCAAACACACCGCCCGGGCAACGAAGGAGTGGCTTCGTAAGAAGCATTTCAAGGTCCTGGAGTGGCCTAGCCAGTCTCCAGATCTCAACCCCATAGAAAATCTTTGGAGGGAGTTGAAAGTCCGTGTTGCCCAGCGACAGCCCCAAAACATCACTGCTCTAGAGGAGATCTGCATGGAGGAATGGGCCAAAATACCAGCAACAGTGTGTGAAAACCTTGTGAAGACTTACAGAAAACGTTTGACCTGTGTCTGTGTATGGGCATATACATTCCTACCTCTAAAAAACATGTTCCCATGTTATATTTGAATGTATAAAATGATGTGCAATATACTGTATTTCAACCATTGTTCACACTGTAATGTTGAAAAAATAACAATACGAAGAACAACAGTACTTTGTCCCTCTTTTCAATGCTTTGTCAATATTTTTTATTTAAAAAAAAAAAATGTGTTAATGTACTGGGGCAAATGCCAGCTCACCACACTTTTGCCCTGCTGTGCTGATTGATCTCTGCAACGTGGATATATAGAAATTGCCACACAATGCTACAAATGAAGAAACCTATATGATCTTTTGACTTACATATCTCAACATTTTGCGATAGTATCGACATTAAAAAAAAAATTGGAGGCGGGAATGGGATTCAATAGGAATTAGCTTCAGCGATATAATTAAATGTCTAAGAGTACAGTCAGGTGGGCTTGGACTTGAAGGATGTCTGCAAGGACAATACACACATCTTCTTCATGCATTGGTCTTATAGCAAGACTGCACAGGTCCTTTACCATAATGCAGGGTAGGTTTAAAGTTTAAAAAGGGGATAGGAGCTTCCAGGTGCTTACGAGTGTTGTTTATGTGATTCCATTATCATCCCATTCTCTACGTTCATGCAATTATTCAAATGGCATTGTCTAAATTATTTACAGGTTCATTAACATACCATAATGATCTCTCTACAATCCTAGGATCTGGAATGAAAATATACCACTAACTAAAAAGCAGAGATTGCAGACAATATTTAAACGTGGAAATTGAAAAACTGAAAGCAGTTGTAGAGTGCTGCAGGAATACCTTTTATAAAGTCCTGTGAAACTCCAATGTATTATCTTCTAGCTAGAATATAAATAAGGTACAGTATAACCAAACGCCTAGCCTGAGTGCCATTCTGATTCCTATCATGCAAACTCCTTGTGATGTTTGGCTTGACAATGAGCAATGGAGTTGGCAAGAGTAAAAGGAGACCTTTGACCAGGCTACCAAACACCTGCAGAGATGACTTTTACATGTACATTTCTCTGGTGTCATGTGCTGAGAGCAAAAGACACTACATTATTATTTTGGGGATCTACTCTTCCCATTGCAGTGTGATGGGTCACATGATTTAGAGCATCTCAAATTAATTCCCAGTGTGTCTGCAGCAGGGGGCTGGGGAATAATCTCTGGTCCCGTTCAGATCTGCAGCCCAGCAGGCAGTGAGCCCCATCCCCTCGGACTGACCTCTGGCTGCATCTCAGAAGTGTTGAATTGCTTGCTTGACCTTCCATTGTTTTGTTTCGCTTTGACTTGTCTTCTCTTTCTAGGAGACTATTCTTACAGTGCATTATCTGTTGAATCGTTAGACACCTCTGAATAACATGAATGATACTGTAAGTGTAAACCTTTATTTTTTGCCAAAACGTTTGTACAATGCGAGCTTTCCAGCCACTGTCACACGTTTGTCCATCTCCAACGGAATTGAACAATTCATGAACATTGGGTCTTCTTCCATTGTTCTAGTTACATCCAACTTGTTTTAGCTTTGACAAACAGCCAGCTGACCCAAACAGGAAACTGTTACCGATCAGAAACACAGGTTGAGTACAGAATGGGGCTCAATGAGAAATAGTTCATAACAAATCACGAGTACCCTTCTAAGATGACATGGCAATATTGTCTAGATAGGGAACGGCAGCTGTAAACAAAAATGGCTAGTGGCAATTCAGGCAATTAACTTAAAAACAAACAGTTGAAATGAAATGCAACTTTAAATATCTACTTGTAAAACAAGATCTAGCATCACTTGTATATTTTGTACTTAAAATAAAAACATGACAAAACAAATCTATAATATTTACATTGCAATCAGTCGCATAAAATGGCAGCTATTCTAGTTAATGTATTGCCGCTATACTGCTAATCTACAGCTGGGTCAGAAAATACTTGTTTGGGTTTGAGGATGCAGAGGATAAAACACTGTTGCCAGGTGGCTACGACACAGCACTGTGCAGAATTTCACAGTATAAACTTGGTGAAAACAGTCATACTAACTCTAACGTTAAAGCTAAATGAACAAAAAAAGTATATGGTTGTGATGCCTTTTTTGAAAAGTAAGGTCTTGAATAACTTAAGGTGCTTACATGGATACTGTCTGTAAGTGCCCTTGCAGATTGTAATGGTTTTAAATAAGATACTGTGGATTTGATCAACAGACGGGTTGTCTTCCCTCTGGAAAAGGGACTGTGACTAATCACAGGAGCTTAACTAAAGAATACTACCATCCAGAGGACTGGGGAGGACTTTGACAGTGAACCGGAGTTAGCAAAGCCAAATCATAGACTTTGGGTATAAAATACAATCTTTCATAGTGCATTTAAAACAACCACTGTTTTTGTACACTCAGTTAACACTAGGCTATAAAAATATACACAAATTAAGACCAAAAAAATGATGTCTAAATGCTATTTTGTGAATGTCCTGGTCCTGAGGGAGATCGTTAATCCCATTTCAACTGTACAAATAAGAGCATTTAAATCCCATCATTGACAATATACACAAAAAGCAATGTATACCAAAGGTATCATTACAAAATACTTCCAAATTAAAGCCAAGAAAATATTGTAATTGAATATGGGAGTGAAAATAACTTCAAAACAGATCAAATATGCAATGTTATGTTAACAGGTATCTTGGAGTACAAAAAAAAAACATATGTACAAAAATATATACATCCCTTCCACAGACGGAGGCTTATTTTTTCTTCGATTTTGAAACCTTTTTTCTTAAAAGGCATTAATCAAATTCAGTCAGCCAATTAGTGTGTACCTTCATAAAACCAAACTTCAAAGAAAGCTGCTCCTGCGGTACATCTAAGAATCAAGTTTCCCCCTTTTCGAAATTCAAGTGTCCCAATGTCTTCCAATTCTAATTTTCAAACAACTTGTTGTTTCTTCGAACTCATGTAGCCATGTGATGAGTTGTGAGCTTGCAGAACTGGAGGGCGTTGCGCTGCGTTGGTTGGAGGTAGGGGTGGCGTAGGCCTCAGTAGACTCTGGGGATGATGCGGTAGCGGACCTCTCGGCAGTAGTTGTCCCACGCCGAGCCGTACTTCCTCCTGCAGTGGGCCTCGTCCCGGGCCTCCCGATGGACCAGCAGGGTGGTTAGGTAGATCACATAGAAGTATGGCAGGATGTGGGTGAACCCTACAGGACGACCACAGACAACACCTCAACATACATTACAGCTTCTCCTCATATCACTATACACATATCAAGACATGTCTAGCTTTACTGGGAGCATCGTCAGCACAGGTCAGAAAAATACATCAAACTAAATGAACTAGCACCTGGTAACTAACTAGCTATGACTAAGTGATTAACTAACTGAACAAGCAGTCACTCACCACAGGGCAGGGACCATGCCAGAGCCATGATGAGGTCCCCCAGGTAATTGGGGTGACGGACGAGCCCCCACAGACCAGACACCAGGAGACTCTTCCCCGTGGCAGTAGGGATAGTCTTCAGATCTGGAAAACACCGTGTTACAGTGAGTCCTTCAACAACATGACAGAGAATAACTCCATCCCTTTATCAAGGCAGGGGGGCCTGCAAATGGCTAATGTTTTTACATGAATAAGACGTACTGGGATTGAGGACTTACGGGATAACGTGGGGTCTGAAGGATTTCTTCTGAAGGCGTTTTTCTGCGAGTTTGCTTTATGGAAGACGCAAAATCCAATGACTGTAACACATTATGTAAAGAAAGTGTCATACTGGTATTCAATCAACAAAAGGTATATCACAGATTACATGTAGGACTTATATGAACATATGCCAATACTAAAAAAGGTCCCAGTACTGACTAACCATTGAGAGTGACAATGCCTACGATCCAGGGCAGAGAGAGGTGGTTGGGGTGGTGGACCAGGTAGTAGGCCTGGAGACTGAAGGTGAAGGGAACCCACATCAAGTCTCCAAACACCAGCATGAAGCCAAAACCATCATGGGTTATATCCATATAGCTCAGGACACCCTCCTGGGGAGCAACATTCAACCATTAGATTACAACCAAATAAATAGAGACTAAATAAAACATTAGGCATCAAAGGCAGGTTTATCTTTACCTCATGCCAGTAGGTATCAAGCACATAAAACAGGTGGAAGCAGTTGACCAGGATCATGGCTGGTGAGGGGTAGTCCAGGTTATGGAGTTTCATCTCAGCCAGAGCCATGGCAGCGTTGATCACCAGCTGGACAGAACACAGACGTCACAGGTCTGATTAAACACAGTCATTGAACAGACAGCAAAACTCAAACAATCCATACACAACATGACCAAAAGTATGTGGACACCTGCTTATCGAATATCGCATTCCAAAATCATGTGCATTAATATGGAGATGGTCCCCCCTTTGCTGCTATAACAGCCTCCACTCTTCTGGGAAGGCTTTCCACTAGATGTTGGAACATCGCTGCGGGGACTTGCTTCCATTCAGCCACAAGACCATAGTGAAGCCGGGCACTGATGTTGGGCGATTAGGCCTGGCTCGCAGTTGGCGTTCCAATTCATCCCAAAGGTGTTCGATGGGGTTGAGGTCAGGGTTCTGTGCAGGCCAGTCAAGTTCTTCCACACCAATCTCGACAAACCATTTCTGTATGGACCTTGCTTTGTGCACAGGGGCATTGTCATGCTGAAACAGGAAAGGGCCTTCCCCAAACTGTTGCCACAAAGTTGGAAGCACAGAATCGTGTAGAAAGCAATTGTATGCTGTAGCGTTAAGATTTCCCTTCACTGGAACTAATGGGCCTAGCCCAAACCATGAAAAAACAGCCCCAGACAATTATTCCTCCTCCACCCAACTTTACAGTGGGAACGATGCATTGGTGCAGGTAGCGTTCTCCTGTCATCCGCCAAACCACGATTTGTCCGTCGGACTGCCGGATGTTGAAGCATGATTCATCACTCCAGAGAACGCGTTTCCACTGCTCCAGAGTCCAATGACTGCGAGCTTTACACCAGTCCAGCCGACGCTTGGCATTGCGCATGGTGATCTTAGGCTTGTGTGCGGCTGCTCAGCCATGGAAACCCATTTCATGATGTTCCCGACGAACAGTTCTTGTGCTGACGTTGCTTTCAGAGGCAGTTTAATAATTGGTCTTGACTGTTGGCAACCGAGAACATGACGATTTTTACGCACTACAGCACTCGGCAGTCCCGTTCTGTGAGCATTGTTGCTCCTAGACGTTTCCACTTCACAATAACAGCACTTACAGTTGACCGGGGCACCTCTAGCAGGGCAGAAATTTTACGAACTGACTGTTGGAAAGGTGGCATCCTATGACAGTGCCACGTTAAGTCACTGAGCGCTTCAGTAAGGCCATTCTACTGCCAATGTTTGTCTATGTAGATTGGATGGCTGTGTGCTCGATTTTATACACCTGTCAGCAATGGGTGTGGCTGAGATAGCCAAATCCACTAATTTGAAGGGGTGTCCACATACTTTTGTATATATAGTGTACCTCAGACATAGACAAACTAGCTCCGAAATGTACTGTAGTATCATTTTAGGATTTATTCTATGTAGTTTACCACTAGAGGGATTAATGAATAAATCTAATGGGACACTGAGCTCATTTTTTTTGCATTTGTGTGTGAGGAAATAATCAGCTTAATCTACACCAAATGGCTCTAATATACGGTACAGCTGAAAAGTACTTTAATGGGAACATATTTCAGTACACTAGAAACTTACCCAACCCATCAATCCTGGGCGCAGCTCACAGAAGTATTTGAGATCAAAGCCTTTGATCCGGGGGTTGAGTTCACTTCCCATAAAGAAGTCATAAATCACACTCCCTGAGGAGGTGAGAAGAACAAATTAATCATTTTACGTTGACCATTTGTGAGGCATCATGCCAATTAGCAGTATAGCAATCTTTGCCCTTAACCTTATGCAGGCCCATGCCATAATATACCCATATCATGGAATCAATCAGACCCAGATTGTAGAAGCGTTTCTCTACCAGTGACAACTACACAAACACACCCACTCACCAGAGTTTCCGCCGGGGGCGAGCTGGTCCTGGGGTGCCCAGCGAGAGCGGACGTACAGGTAGACACTGAGCAGGACAGAGAAGAGCAGGGAAGACACAGCCAGCTGGAGGAAGTGGCTGTGGATGTAGCTGAGGTCCACCCCCTGATGCACTGCAGCCCCCAGGGCAGCCACCGTCAGCACAAAGGCATGGAGGGCTAGTGGTGGAGGAGGAGACATACAGGGTTAATACACAGGAAGTTCCTCAACCAAAGGGTCTTTCCTTACATGACTTATACAGTTGAAGTCGGAAGTTTACATACACCTTAGCCAAATACATTTAAACTCAGTTTTTCACAATTCCTGACATTTAATCCTAGTAAAAATTCCCTGTCTTAGGTCAGTTAGGATCACCACTTTATTTTAAGAATGGGAAATGTCAGAATAATAGAGAGAATGATTTATTTCAGCTTTTATTTCTTTCATCACATTCCCAGTGGGTCAGAAGTTTACATACACTCAATTAGTATTTGGTAGCATTGCCTTTAAATTGTTTAACTTGGGTCAAACGTTTCGGGTAGCCTTCCACAAGCTTCCCACAATAAGTTGGATGAATTCCTCCTGACAGAGCTGGTCAGGTTTGTAGGCCTCCTTGCTCGCACACGCTTCAGTTCAGTTCTGCCCACAAATGTTCTATAGGATTGAGGTCAGAGCTTTGTGATGGCCACTCCAATACCTTGACTTTGTTGTCCTTAAGCCATTTTGCCACAACTTTGGAAGTATGCTTGGGGTCATTTTCCATTTGGAAGACCCATTTGCGACCAAGCTTTAACTTCCTGACTGATGTCTTGAGATGTTGCTTCAATATATCCACATAATTTTCCTTCTTCATGATGCCATCTATTTTGTTAAGTGCACCCCCACAGCATGATGCTGCCACCCCTGTGCTTCACGGTTGGGATGGTGTTCTTGGCTTGCAAGCCATCCCCTTTTTCCTCCAAACATAACGATGGTCATTATGGCCAAACAGTTCTATTTTTGTTTCATCAGACCTGAGGACATTTCTCCAAAAAGTACGATCTTTGTCCCCATGTGCAGTTGCAAACCGTAGTCTGGGATTTTTATGGCAGGTTTTGGAGCAGTGGCTTCTTCCTTGCTGAGCGGCCTTTCAGGTTATGTCGATATAGGACTCGTTTTACTGTGGATATAGATACTTTTGTACCGGTTTCCTCCAGCATCTTCACAAGGTCCTTTGCTGTTGTTCTGGGATTGATTTGCACTTTTCGCACCAAAGTACGTTCATCTCTAGGAGGCAGAACGCGTCTCCTTCCTGAGCGGTATGACGGCTGCGTGGTCCCATGGTGTTTATACTTGCGTACTATTGTTTGTACAGATGAACGTGGTACCTTCAGGCGTTTGGAAATTGCTCCCAAGGATGAACCAGACTTGTGGAGGTCTACTATTCTTTATCTGAGGTCTTGGTAGATTTATTTTGATTTTCCCATGATGTCAAGCAAAGAGACACTGAGTTTGACGGTAGGCCTTGAAATACATCCACAGGTACACCTCCAATTGACTCAAATGATGTCAATTAGCCTATCAGAAGCTTCTAAAGCCATGACATTTTTCTGGGATTTTCCAAGCTGTTTAAAAGGCACAGTCAACTTAGTGTATGTAAACTTCTGACCCACTGGAAATGGGTGATACAGTGAATTATAAGTGAAATAATCTGTCTGTAAACAATTGTTGGAAAAATTACTTGTGTCATGCACAAAGTAAGTCCTAACCGACTTGTTAACAAACTATATAGTTTTGGCAAGACATTTTTGGAGTGGTTGAAAAAAAGAGTTTTAATGACTCCAACCTAAGTGTATGTAAACTTCCGACTTCAACTGTATGTTAATGAAATACATTGGCATAGTGCTTTACTACAGATCTCAACGTGCTGGGGGTAACTGACTAGTTAGTCCCAGTTAATTCCTTCAAAATGACAAACAAGACATGAAAAACAGAAGAATGCCTCACTGTTCATTCTGTACTTCAGCCAGTCTCCATTCTTCAGGGGCATTCCTTCCACAACCTGGGGACAAAAACACAGCTTGGACTGTCATTCAACCTTACAGGAAATACGTTATGAGAGGGATAATATAGCTAGGATAGGTGACTTTTTGTACATGTTAAAAGCTTACATTATCCCCTTTCACTAATGTAAACCAGACCATATGATTTCATTGGAGCCATATGATGAAAGTTTTATACATTCTCAAAAAGGCACGTGTGCTTCAACCGTTTTCATAAGGCAGATGAGAAGGAGAGGAAAATCCCAACAAAACCTCCCCTTCTTCCCTGTAGTGTTCCAGCGTGGACCGTAGCCTACTCCTGCTGATTAATCTAATTTCTGCCCTCTGCTCCAGCTAATGAGCAGAAATGAGACGTGAGAGCCAGTCATGTGCTCTGTCCAGGTCACAGATGGGTGTAATGTGTATGGCCTGTACTCTAAGGGGGGTTAGTGTGTGTGTGTGTGTGTGTACAGTCTTCAATAGGGGTGGGAGTAGAATTCTGAGAATGCAGCTGACCCACTAGACGATCATCTAAGGTGATCATGTTACCTTTCCGACAGGCAGCACGTAGAGCAGGGCCTGGAAGAGGAACCAGAGGACCACGATGCCAAACACATGTGGGTCCAACAAGGAGTCCAGGGCAGGTAGAGGGGGGGAGCTCATCAGGCTAGCATCCTCCTGACTGCAAATCACCATCAGTCCCAACACTGTCACAGGCAGGAGCAGCATCATGCAGGACACTCCTGCAATCACAGGGGGAAAAGACACTGAGTGACTGGAGCCAAAGGAAGTCAGTCTGGTCCTTATTTTTTAACCCGTTACAGTCCCTCCCGAAATGCATTCTTGTCAAACAATGTGCAGACTAGCACCCTAGTGCAATTTTGATTGGCATAACCGTTTGCAGACTAGCACCATTCTTCCCCCCCCCAGCAGCCACATTTCTCTGTTCCTCCTCTCACCTAGCCTCCCTCCAAACTCCAGCTCAGTGGTGATGGGGGCTGTGGCTGCTGCAGGCTTCTGCTCAGCTTCCTTCTCCTTGTCCTCCGTCTGCTCGGCTGGCTTGGCGTCACCGTCGTCCTTCCTGCGTCTCAGGTTGTAGCGGCTCTCTAATACCTTCTTCTCTGGCTCCGTCTCTGCAGGTTTCTGGAAGTAGACATGGTTAGACACACATTGGTCAGGCTGAGTGGTGGTATTCATTTAAACAGACATGGCTAACCCACAGTGACTTAAGCTTATAGGGAAGATAATGCACAGCCATTCTATTTGCCACACAAATTATCCTTAGATTTTCATCTCTTAAAGGAAAAGTGAACACTTGCTATAGCAGGAAATACCACTATAAACCATTGTTTGGTTTTACTACAAGGTTGTCAGCGTTATATGGGCATTTTTCTCAGTATTTGTTTAACATAAACTATGAGCAAAGTCCTCATAAGCGGCAGTGAGAAGTTCTCAGAACCTCTGAGGAGAGCAGAGAAAAGAGGCAGCACATGTTCAAACAGCATGTGACTGACTGATGGACCCTAAGTGGTGTGAGTCTGCTGGGGCTTTGTACAAGCTGACTCCCCCATGCAGTCCTCCCAACACACAGAAGGTACAACATGCATGCATCATGACATTCCTACATATAAAAGCCCATTCACAAACAAGCAGTAAAGCTAGGGACAGTTCCGTTACAATTCTAATGCCAAACTTGCTTACAGTCCAACACAAACATATACATTTTGTTCTAGGAGCATTGACATCATTCTGGATAGAAATAAACTGTAAAAAAATAAAAATACATACAGTATCTAAAGTCTCACCTCGTTGACTTTGTTAGCAGTATCATTATCATGCTTATTGTTGCCATTGTTCTCAACTGGCTTAGCCTGTGGTAAATGGAAATGAAGCGAGGGAAGCAAAACGTCAACATGAGGAAAAAGGAACGTGATGACAAACAATAGGGAAAAAGAGAGGCACGTGTTACTATGCAAAGATGGACCCACTGAATTCTCTCTACAGGTGGTCACACACACAACGTGGTTTATTACACTGTTATTAGTCAACGCTTGATCTACCATCAAATAATGCTATCTCTGAGGTCATACGTTTTACAGTGCATTCTGAATACACAAACACATGCAGCAGAGCAACAATCTAAAACAAAAAGCCATTCTAAATCCCAGCAGTGAGTGTGACATGTTCCTCACCACAGGGCTGAGTCTGATCTCCAGCACTTCTTTCAATTTGGGCACCTTGCGTACTGCAGGGCGGATCCGTGGAGAAGGTGCCGCTGGCGGTGCGTGAAGAGGAGCGCCGGGTTGTCCTGGCCGGAGAACGGGAACGACTGCGCCGCCGCGATGGAGAGCGGGAGCGAGAACGAGAGCGACGGCTTGGTTTAAAGCCAGTTGGATTCTGGAACATAAGTTGTGGCATTTATCAAGGTTACAAACGTGTTATTACATAGCTGCATTATAAAAGGACAGCACCAATGGAGCAATCAACTTATCATAAGAGGATAACAACATTTGAGTATGCACTACAGAAAAAATTATAAGATCAAAATTCCTGAACCTTGTCAAGATAGACAAAATTCCAACCAACTGAGACATTGATATTCATCTGGGTCACACATCATCAGTGACATGGTTGCCATGGAGATAGATAGTGCTCCTACCTTCATGTCAGCCTCTCTGAGCTCCAGCTCTGTGCCGTCCTTGTAGATGACGGTGTAGAGCTGACTCTTGGCATCGTAGCTCAGCACCTTGACTTCGTAGAATAGGCTGCTCCCGGGCCAGCGGCCCATCACCATGTCCCCACTCTGAAACCTAATACTCGGCATCCTCATTTACCTGACAGAGAGAGAGAGCACACATGTCAAAAACCAGGGGAGTAGCATGGGGTGGTCGAAGCCACTGCTGCACATGTATAATGTAGCACTGCCAGTATGGGTTCAAATCTGGGGTTTCTCTCTCCCTCTAAAATAGAAGAGGGTTTTGAGACTGTTTTCATGACTGGGCTTATAAAAGTACATGTTTCACTCCAGTACCAGCTTTTTGAGGAGCGCTCTCGTGCTGTCTGACGGGTGATAGGCTATTCCGCTCTTCAAACTAGGCTCTGTATGCTGTGCGCATGTGATAAATATGATGACTAATGAAAATACATGAGCCAATTTAATTCCACCAAATTATTCAAATTAACCTATAGACTGATACACAACCGCGGTCAAATGTATTTTCGGCAGCTAACCGATTGAAATGAATTGGGTGTGCATATCAAAACAGTCTACGACAGGGACAACTCTTCTTTAGAACATTTCCCCAATCACACGAGTTTGGCGTGGGCGGATTAGGCTAGATGAGACATTTACAGTGTGCATTAAGAAAATGTAAATGGGGACAGACGAGCGCAAGACTTGACACAATGGAGCAGTGAGGTCAGTAGTATGGAAGGGGATGCAGAGCTCACATAATTGCTGACGTTCCAGTCCCCACTAGTGTTAACTCTGTTTGTAGTTTTAAACTAGTCAATACCACTCCAGCCCCCTTTATCACTCTCTCAATAGCCTTTGTACACAGAATTCCAGTAATGTCCAGGTAACATCAGAAACTGCATTTTAGAAGTTTAACAAAAGTTGTGCTCCCATGTCATATCAACAAGTGAAAGCCTGCTCTGATTATACAACTGTTCTTGCCACAGACCATTTCAACACATACACACTATGAAAACATAGTCCTCATGAAAATACATATTAAATAGAGGGGGGAAACCTGTAGACGTGAAGTGCATGACATACTTGGCCAACTCTGTCCTTGTAATGACCACAAGCAACTATTCACTGGAATGTGTCATTTTTCATCAAATAAAGTCAAAATAGTACATCACAGCTGCTGAAATGTATAAAATGTAACTTATCCTTCTCATAATGGCCCACACAGATTACAAATTAAATAGATGCAGAGTACAGTGAGTCCACTAATCCATCTGTCATAGTAGTCAGTAATAGTAAAGCACATTCCATAACATCTCCATGAATTAATGCCAACCCCGACACCCCCAAAGGCTCTGCCCTGCTGTCCCTGTTGAATTCCTCCATATGGTTAAAGGTATAGCTAGGTAAACGATGCGGACAGGGTTCACTACTCCAGGAAAGATGGAAGGATGCGAGGTATGATGTGGGTGGAGCTTCGAAAGTCAGCCCCTCGTCTTTTGTGCCATACCTCAAACACAGACATTTAAATACATTTAAAGTGAAAGTCGTTTCAATCACTTTATGATGAAGAATTGAAATAGTCCTAGCTAATCGTTTACAATAATGTAATGGGAGTTTGTAATTGGTTTTATAGAAAGTTCACCCAGCCACCGCCAGGTGTACATTAGAGACCTTCAACCAAATATTTTTCTATCTATGGTTCAACCGCCGAAGCAGTTTTTATTTTTTACATAAATCTTACAAATGTTAGCTAACAGTTAACTAGATTGTGACTAAGGGCGTTCCCACATATGAAATTCGGTACCCTGGTTCGGTTTCCTGGAGCGTTTGTGAGAATGACAGAATAGGTTTTGCTTTCACAAGACCTGAAAATAACCGTTTCATGATGCGATTAGCAAGACGCACATTCTACATGACGTTGGCGAGCTAAAGTAGCTTGCTTACAACGGGCAAAAAAGTTCCACGCGACTCGCGCTGCCGTGTCACAATAACCTGGTACTCTGTGGTCCTGGATCTTGGACCCGCGCTACTCACGCAGGTCCAGGATTCGTTTCAGCCAGTGTTCGTTTGCGTTTCACACATGCTTTATAGCGCGGATCATGGTACCAAACGCTACAGGATATATAAAGCGCCCTAAATTATGGTGCACGCAAGTCAGTGCTGAACATATTCCGGAGACTTAGCCTAAAGTGTAACGTTAGGCTACCAATAAGTGGAAATTAAATTGAAACTGCAAAAATGCATACATAGTCGGATATATATTTAGCTATATAACGTTAACCAGCAAACAAGAAAGTGACTGAGTAACAAAAAAACTCGCGTTACCTAGCAACACGGTTGGATTGAGTTGGAAGAGCAGTCAAAACCGTAGATAACGTTAGCTGGCTAACGTTGTTTCAGGGCATGTTTACATTTTTGCAATTGTAGACATTGCACTGACGCATTAACATGTGCAGACAATAAATAGGTAGCTAGCTAGCCTATTCATTATAAGCAGTTAGGTTACTAGCGAAATTGCTCAGCTGCAGTGCCGTGGCTAGCTGATCCCACAGCCACGCAGTCCAAACACTGTCAAGAATACCGACCGTAGACATTAGCTACTGTAGCTTTAAGCAGCCAAGTTCTCAGCAAATACTTTTTTCAATTGTAAATGTTATTAATCACCCTTACCTTTAGATAGCACGTACAACTCCAATTAAGAAAATAACATAGATATCCCTTTAAAAACGTGGAACGAAAATGTATCGCAAGCTATGTTTAAAAACTGCAGCTAAATGTTGAGCGCGTTCTCCCTCATACGCGAAGCCCACCAGTGTATATGATGGCGCGAAGCCCGCTGATTGGCTACAACGCTATTCTTTTAAAAGTATTTAATTTTCTGATTGGTCGACAGAGGATTTTAACAGAGTGCGGATTGGTAGTAACCGGCATGTCCTACCGCTTTCTTTGTTTATGGTGTCAGATGTCTACAAGCGTCGGACAAAATGGAGGCAATTATGTTTTATTGTGTGGGAGATAATCTTTGTTCTAGTAAAAATGATAACTCGTGTTTAGTTCTTTGTTCATCAAATCAAATATTATTTGTCACATACACGTGTTTAGCAGATGTTATAGCGGGTGTAGCGAAATGCTTGTGCTTCTAGCTCCGACAGTGCAGTAATATCTAACAAGTAATATCTAACAATTTCACAACCTATACCTAATACACACAAAACTAGTAAGGAATGGAATTTAAGAAAATATACATATATGAACAAGCAATGACGGAGCGGCATGGACTAAGATACAGTAGAATATTATAGAATAGAATGCAGTATATACATAGGAGATGAGTAGTGCAAGATATGTAAACATTATTAAAGTGACTAGTGTTCCATTTCTTAAAGTGGCCAGTGATTTCAATAGGCAGCAGCAGCCTCTAATGTGCTAGTGATGGCTATTTAACAGTCTGATGGCCTTGAGATAGAAGCTGTTTTTCATTCTCTCGGTCCCAGCTTTGATGCACCTGTACTGACCTCGCCTTCTGGATGATAGCGGGGTGAACAGGCAGTGGCTCGGGTGGTTGATGTCCTTGATGATCTTTTTGGCCTTCCTGTGACGTCGGGTGCTGTATGTGGTCTTGGAGGGCGGGTAGTTTGCCCTCGATAATGTGATCGGCAGACCGCACCACCCTCTGGAGAACCCTGCGGTTGCGAGCGGTGCAGTTCATGACAGCAGCATAATGTATGCATGGAGAAGACTAAGACACCATCATTTCTGGATTTATGTAGTCAATTGTAGAGCATTTACAAAAAAATCATAATAATTAAAACAAATAGTTGTTGCCTAAAGTGATAAAATATTGGTGTATACAAACAGTGGGTCACACAAGACATCTTTATATTTTGAGCTTAAACAGTAACTATCAACAGTTGAAAATTCTGAAATCTGTAAAGAAAAGTTAGCTGTGTTCGAATACTCATACTAACCATACTATTTGTGACTTAAATTGAGTGTATAGTATGCTTATTGGTCATAGTATGCATATAGTTAGTATGCCAAAAGTTCCCGGATGTCGTACAACACAAGCAGTGGACACTATTTCCACGCTTTTAGGGCCCATAATGCAATTCTTCGGGAAATAGGCGTGGCTGCACAACGTTTTCAGATTTGAAGAAAATTGCGGGAAATATGTAGCCGAAGTCCGACGAGAGCGGATACAAATTCATTGCTTTAACTAATTATGACAATTGTTAATAAAATGTTGAGCAATGTAATAAAGTAATGACTTTTCAAATAAGTTACCTTACACGTTATGTTGGCTGACAATTTGTTAGCTACGTAGTAGTATGTTAGCTACCTAACGTTAGTTGGCTACTAATACGTTGAACTTGCCAGTATATTAATTATATGCTATCTAACTAACTACCCGACGTTTATTGACTTGATTATTCCGGTCATTCTTACTTTAGCTAAGTGGTATAATCGTTGTGCGTTCGTAAATTTGCTCTGGCTATCTACTCCGATTTCAGAGCACTCGTCTCATCTGAGTGTACCTATGCCAGAGCGCAGAATAACTGATGAATTTATGAACGCTCAACACCTGAAAGAATACCGTTCGTTTACCGTATACTAAAATGAACTAATAGTATATACTCATTAAGTATGTCGTATACAGTATGTTAGTATGGGTATTCGAACATAGCTGTTCATACATTGTACATTGGTCTCATGTAGCTTTGTTACAGGCTATTGATGACTCATGAAACAAACACCTGTTGAACAATTTTGACATTAGATGGCACAGGTCACCAACACATTTTTTCCCAACTTTGTATTGTACTCATGCATTCTAGACCAGAGCAGATGTTTAATCTAATTAAATCCCAAAGTGTATTGTGCTTGTTATTTCATCTATCTGAAACTAAATGAGAAGAAACCAAATAATGTTTATATGAGATCAAGTTCAGATTAACATATTTTTGCAGGAGTTGCTTTCAACATTACAAACCAGCTGGTGTTATCCTCACTATATGAAGCTCTGATTAATCTTCAATTTCAACACATTGCCCTGACTGACTGCAACTCTGGATGTTGCTTTATAGGCTTAGAATTATTACAAAACCACATTCAAGGAATCAGACATTGCAAAGTAATGTTGAAACATAGGCTGATCATGAAGGATGATTACCATGAAACATCTTGTGCATCAGAAGTAATGATTGTGCATGGAGAGTGAAAACAGCTGAGCAGAGGTGTCAAATAATTCACAGTTCATGACTACGTAAGGAAATAAACAAGATTTTGAAAATTCAAAAAAACTACTGCCCAATTACAGCATTCTCAGCCCTCTCTTTCCCTCTGAGGTCATGAAGCAAAGCAGCCGCTTAGGGTCTTCCTGTCTTACAGCAGTTTCCGCCCTTGCAGAACCCTCTCTCTACTCCGGCTGCCACACCAAAACCTCAAATGAGACTTCTCAGCCCTCCTCCAGGAAGTGTCTTTATACTGTTCATAATGTTGCAAACAACTGCACACATGCACACAGTAGTAGACTCCCACTGTGAGATCGTCACCCCTGTGAAAAGAAGCTGCAAGACCAGACGCAGATGACTGGCTGCCCTTAGCAATTGTGATGGGCTCGGGCTCAGACAGCAACTGTGGGTGTGTGTGGGGGGAAATGGCACAGGCAAGTCTTTTGAGATATTTCTCTACTTCGGCTTCAGTTAGTCCTGCCTCTTCCTTTTAGCTGACATGTGGCAGTAGAAGAGCGAAACCTGAAGTGCAGAAACATTCACTGCTAATGGGGTGTGAAATAGGTGATGTAACGTCCAGTGTGATTGGTCTGCCACTAGGAACAGGCCTGCTGGAAATTCCCTAGACCTACTCAAGGAACAAGTGGCTGAGGCAGTGACTAACAAGTTGGACTGAATTGTAAAGCAGCTTCAGTCTTATGACAAATCCCTATACAGTAATGACCTCTTTATACCCAACATCTGCAAAGTATTCAACACTGAAACGAAGAGTAAAACACAAGGCTTATAATAACCGTGTGACAAGACGAGTCCAAGGTGCTCACCTAAGCTCAATTTCAGTATTTCTGCTGAATCATCGTTTTCAAGCTTTTTAATATTTGATGAATGCCCCGCATGTAAAACAGGTATGCTCTCCCACACATTCTCTTTGGTGCAGATCTAAAACAGGTTATTTTCAAAGGCTGAGAAGAACTGAGAGAAACTGCTGATGCAGCACAAGTCTTTAAATCCGTCTCAGAGATCCTGTGCATCATATTCTGTCCCACAGGAGAGAAATATCCAGATTAAAAAGTTGTAGGAATTAGTTATTAAAACAATGTTAATTTAAAGACCACACAAAACAAATGTACTTTTTGATCATGTATTGCAATTTTTTATTTCATTCGCTCAAACAAAACAATGTTAGCATGTAAGAAAATTGTAATTAACATGAGAACGGTATGGTACAATTTGAATAAAATAATACAAATAAAGGAAACTGATAAATTAATTTCAGAGACATTCAGTTTAATTTCTCCCGAATATTTTTTATTATGTCCACCAACTTCGGTTCCATCAGGAGATGGCAAAATCTGAGTTTGGGGACTAAATCAACAATTTGATTTCCAAGCGCCATGAACATAAACCGCTCTGTAACATACAAATGGCATGAGGAAAATACACCATGTCTGTACTTTGAAAGATAACTTTATTCTCCCTTTAAAATAACTATACCAGGATGCAACAACAAAAAAATCATGTGTGAGATTGACAGTTCCTATAATTATTACTAGTCTTTAAATCTTTGACATATTAAATGCAAATTCAGAACAAGGCACAAACCATGAAGATCACAAACATAATTATCCGTAGATATGAATGATCCTTGATCAGAACGTTTCACCACCCAATCCAAAGAAATCGATATAGATCCTTCTCTTGACAATGATGAAACAAAAGGCGAGTCAGTAGAGTGTGACGTGTGTAGGAGGAGATTGTAGCTGACACCTTTGGTGCGATAGCCACACTATTGGCGATGGCTGCATCTTGTAAGCAGGTTCATCATAGTATCATGAATTTCTATGGGTTTATAAAGTGCAATCAATGCTGTAAACACTCTTGCGTGCAAACCTTCCTATGCTTTGATCCAGAGAGAAGGGTATTAGTTGTGTTTGAGCAAAACACACACAAGGGGAGTGTTTTGAATAATGCTCACCACCACACCTCAGCTGTTGCCATGTCAGATCCCTGATCAAAGTCAATCCCCTTACCAGCAAGTCAAGAGAATAGAAGCAATAGGAGCAATAGAGTTTTACATTGAAGACAGTTCATTCTTTTACACTAGTCTCATGTTCACTTGGTTTCTCTCAGTTGATTGTACATCGAGATTTTTAGGAACGCAAACTCGGCACTGTTTTGTTTTGAAAAGGAAACAACATTTTCAATAAAAAGTTGCCATTCCCATGACCAAATTAGTCAAACAAAGGGGGGTTGTGGGGGGTGGGGGGTGTAAGGTGTGCCATTATCAGAACTTCATATTATAGGGGAGGAAATAAAGGCTTTTATTTTTAATTTTTTACTAATAATCATGAAGCGCAAGTGAAACACTTAATGCCACAAGCATGTCCACGGATACATCATGCAGACAGACTTCTTTCTGGGGTGTCCCTCATATCCTTTTTCATTACTAATTCTTTCAAATGCAAAAAAAAGAGAAGAAATTGAATTTAGCTGCAATATCAATAATAAGATACAGTAGCCTTCAATCCCAAAACAAAATACCATGAATTGAAAAAATTATGACATACCTCAGTAAATTAAGTACATTATGGCTATAAACAGGGAGGGTCTGTCCATCCATCTTTTCTCAACCCATCTGTTTCACACAGTTAGAATCTATGGAGGAGGTGGACGTAGAGGAAAGGAGGAGATACTGTCACAGTCACATCCTTAACAGGTGTTCAGAATGGAGTTAAAAGAACAGGAACATTTAAAAGGAATAATGTGTGGGAAAGTCAACCCAGATGCTACACTTATTGCTTATAAACTGACGGACAATAATTACATTTCGTGATAGCCTCACGACCCTCACCGTACAAAACCTTACATGCACCAAAAATTGGACAGAAACTGCGAGGGAGAGGAAAAAAAGGTTCAGCTCATAATAACAGTACAGAGATTTCAAATAGCTCTATCTCCAGATCTGGTCATGGTGACTTTAGCATTATTAATCATCACTAATTGACAGAGGTTGTTTGGTAAAGAGCTACAATGATTGACGTTTAGAAAGGCATACCCTTTGTGACTGTCTCATCAGTCTGCAACACACAGAAATGCACTACAGTAGCTCATTAGAGCAATTGTTTCTATAGAAAAAATAAGAATGATATTTGGATACTAAACCAAACAGACCAAGAGACAGACCATCATGTAAAGATTTGATTAAGCTACTTGATATGGCCATGGTTTACATTAAAACAGACATGATTGATAGACTTGTAGATATCTTTTTTTCTTCTTTTGTACATATTCAGGTTAAAATAGTATTTGAGGAAGACTAGCTTTACAGAGTCCTGCAGCAGTAGACTATACCAAGTCCATCAGTCAGTCCTTCATTCACACCCAGAGGCTCCCTCCTATGGCCCTATGGGGAACTGAGTCCTACTTCCCTCACTCTCCTGCCTCCAAACTTCACACTCACCCACTAAATGTGCCTTTTCGCTATGAAATCACAAGTGCACGCTAACCGTTCCAATTCTTAGTGTAAATGCTGTCTGTTTGATTTCTCACACTTCAATGGTTAATACAGTATACAGTTCAATATAGTGTTATTTTTTATTTGTTGATTTTCCTTGTTTTCTTGTGTTATCGACAAAGAGAGAAATCTTTGCATAATGACAGTCACTCCTCTTAAGACTGTGTCCTGTCCTCCTGGTGAGGCTGCGGGAAAATGGCGGGAACGGCCAGGCTTCACAAGATGGACGCCAGCAGTGCTTCCATGCTACACGCATCCCGCTCTCCCTCGCCTCCCACTCTCACTCATCCCCAGCTGTGTGTCTGACGCTGCTCCGCTCACAAAACGCTTTCTTCTGTATTAATACGGTTATTATTGTTATCGTCACCACCTTTTTAGACTTTTTTTGTTTTCCTTTTTCGTTTCTTTATAATATTGTCCTATCTGAAGTTGACCTGTCACAGGTGTCTGGTAATGGATGTAATGTACAGGGAGGTGAGATCCTTCTACGCCGTGCTCGACTTTCCCAGCTCCTCCCTGATGGCTGTGAACAGACAAACAACATGTCAGTTATATTGTGTTTTGTGTTGTCTTTGGTGTGATATGCAGTGGCATGAATGGTGCGATGCTAATTCTCTGATGACAAAGGTACAGTAGGCCTCAACTGAACACAATATCTTTCTGTGCTTTGAGGAACTTATTTCACGCCCTGTCACCTCCTATTACACGGCAGCAGCCCTGGCCGTGACCCCACTCTCAGAGGGCGTCTCAGGGGGAGTTGGGATATGGAGAAAACACGTTTCCAATTCACACCTCACACTTGTACAGGTTACCTGTACATGCAGTGAAACAGGACAATTATAAGCACCCTCAGTATGTGCATCAGGATGATCAAGCAATCAGTTACCATCAATAAGTTCCTCTTTCAGCTTCGACAACTCCTTCCTCATCTCATCCAGAATGTCCTGAAAATAAGGTTGGAAAGAAAATTTGAGACAAAATACAATGGAAAAACAAAGAATTTGTTTCAAACAGGCACTTTGGACATGTGAAATGGATTGAAACTTGCACTAAAGCAGAGGGGGGGGGGGGACAGTGACTTTAGCATCAGTGAGAGATACTGTCCCAGAGAGCTGAATGTGTGTTAGTAAGCCCATAGTGTCACTGCTCTGTGTTACTGCTCTGTCTCTGACTGAGGCTGTTGCTGTGTACACAGATAGGGAGGCTATATGGAGAATCTACACTTATCTAACAGGCTCATTCATAGGGGAGGAGGGAGGGATTGCCCCAGCATGGGACACCGTCATTGGACACACCCTCTCAGGGCTCTGTAGTTTTCTGTGTAAAATACTACAGCTCCACTGTTCTGCCAGCAAACAGCAAGTCAGTCATCTTTTACGTGTCTCCTTTGAATACCTGTTTCAATCTGTCGTAGTCGAGACCTTCTGTTGGCACCCCGTTGGCACTTAGGGATCCAGTCGGTGTGGGTGTGGACTTCGGTCTGTAGATGAGATAAACAGAAAAAGTTACAGTAGTATACCTAAACTGGGGCTGTTGTCGAGGGAGAGTCCAGAAGTCACTCTTGGAAGAAAACCAGACAGAAAAGTATCTACTGTGGCTGGATCAATCACCTCTACATTCTGCATTCACTCATCAGACAATTCAATCACTTAAAAAAAAAAAGAAGTTACATTAGCATTTTTTACAACTACAATGTAAACAACTTGAAAGAAAGTGCAAATTGATTCAAATTGACAGTTTGATTTCAAAACACAGCAGAAAACATAGGAAGTTACAGATTTTAACACACAGAGAAAATTGTCATCATACCCCAACATCCATTCTTTTAAATTCAGTATTGTGAAACTGATATACTAATCTGGCAATGTAGAGAATAATGTACCATCATAATGATTTTCATGTCCATGTGTCAAAATTGATAACTACACTAGTTAAACAGCTGAGCCTATTTGACAGGGTACCTAACCCTTTGGCTGCCCACATACAGTATAAGGCCCTTTCATGAACTTGATTTGTTAGTTAGAGTATCATTACGCTCTGAGCAAACTGAAACTATAGTGAACAGAAATATGACTGTTCTGGCACATGACAGCCCGCTTGGAGTTTGCCAAAAGGCACCTAAGACTCTCAGACCATGTGAAACAAGATTCTCTGGTCTGATGAAACTAAGATTGAACTCTTTGGCCTGAATGCCAAACGCCACGTCTGGAGGAAACCTGGCACCATCCCTATGGTGAAGCATGGTGGTGGAAGTATCATGCTGTGGGGATGTTTTTCAGCGGCAGGGACTGGGAGACTAGTCAGGATCAAGGAAAAGACAGACGGCGCAAAGTACAGAGAGATCCTTGATGAAAACCTGCTCCAGAGCGCTCAGGACCTCAGACTGGGGCGAAGGTTCACCTTCCAACAGGACAATGACTAAGCACAGAGCCAAGACAACGCAGGAGTGGCTTCGGGACAAGTCTCTGAATGTCATTGAGTGGTCCCAGCCAGAGCCCGGACTTGAACCCGATCAAACATCTCTGGAGAGACCTAAAAATAGCTGTGCAGCGACTCTCCCCATCCAACCTGACAGAGCTTGAGAAGATCTGCAGAGAAGAATGGGAGAAACTCCCCAAATACAGGTGTGCCAAGCTTGTACCGTCATACCCAAGAAGAATCGAGGCTGTAATCGCTGCCAAAGGTGCTTCAACAAAGTACTGAGTAACGGGTCTGAATACTTATGTAAATGTGATATTTCAGTTTTTTATTTATACATTATGGGGTATTGTGTGTAGATTGAAGAGGGAAAAAAACAATTTAATCCATTTTAGAATAAGGCTGTAATGTAACAAAATGTGGAAAAAGTAAAGGGGTCTGAATACTTTCCGAATGCACTGTATATACGCAACATGCAACAATTTCAAAGATTTTACAGAGTTACAGTTCATATAAGGAAATCAGTCAATTGAAATGATTTCATTAGGCCCTAGTCTATGGATTTCACATGACTAGGAATACAGATATACATCTGTTGGTCACAGATACCTTAAAAAAAGATAGCATGGATCAGAAAACTAGTCAGTATCTGGTTTGACCACCATTTGGTTTGACATTTCCTTCGCTTAGAGTTGATCAGGCTGTTGATTGTGGCCTGTGGAATGTTGTCCCACTCCTGGCTGTGCGAAGTTGCTGGATATTGGCGGGAACTGGAACACGCTGTCGTACACGTTGATCCCAGAGCATCCCAAACATGCTCAATGGGTGACATGTCTGGTGAGTATTCAGGCCATGGAAGAACTGGGACATTTTCAGCTTCTAGGAATTGTGTACAGATCCTTGCGACATGGGGCCATGCATTATCATGCTGAAACATGAGGTGATGGCGGCAGATGAATGGCACGACAATGGGCCTCAGGAACTCGTCACGGTATCTCTGTGCATTCAAATTGCCGCCGATGAAATGCAATTGTGTTCGTTGTCCGTAGCTTATGCTTGCCCATACCCTAACCCCACCGCCACCATGGGGCACTCTGTTCACAACGTTGACATCAGCAAACCGCTCGCCCACACAACGCCATACACGTGGTCTGCGGTTGTATGGCTGGTTGGACACATTGTAAAATTATCAAAACTTGAGACATCTGTAGCATTGTCTTGTGTGACAAAACTGCACATTTTAGAGTGGCCTTCTACTCTCCCCAGCACAAGGTGCACCTGTGTAATGATCATGCTGTTTAAATCAGCTTCTTGATATGCCACACCTGTCAGGTGGATGGATTATCTTGACAAATAATAAAATGCTCACTAACAGGGATGCAAACAAATGTGTGTGCAAAATTTGAGAGAAATAAGCTTTTTGTGCATATGGAACATTTCTGGGATATTTTATTTCAGCTCATGAATCATGGGACATGTTGCGTTTATATTTTTGTTCAGTGTAGATTTAGGCAAAGTGAACCAGTAAATTAATAGGAAACTGTCCTATGACTGGAATCACTAGTAGAAAAGCTAAATGCCTTAGGTAAAGCCAGCCCAAAGTACACATGCTACACACACCAACCATATGAGTTCACACAACTAACATTGGGAAGTTCAGCCCAATTGAAACACAATCAAGTTGAATTTGGGAGTCAGAGTTCAGAAACAGGCCGATGTAGTTCGAACATGCACACACAATGCAGCAGCCACACACAGCCATGCTTCTCTGCTATTGGATCAGCTGTGACAGGAAACCATTGCCAACAAGGAAATCACCATGGGCTACGACTACAGGAAATGATTAAAGGAAATGTCACACTATCAGAGTGTGAAATCAGTGAGGAAATGAATTCCGTGAAAAGCCAACAGGTTGCCAGGGAGGAAGTGGAAGCCAAGAGAATATGAGAGGTGTAACATTAGGTTACAAGAATGTTAGCTTGTTACGATTCCCAACAGCTGTCTTTCTGTAGTGTATGCGTGTGTGTCTCTGTGTTTGTTTGCGTCTGTGTGTCTGCTCTAGTGGTCTCTGGTCCTCTTGCCTCCTCTATAGGTCAGATATGAATACCAGTTTATGGGGGAGGAATTAATTCCGCCCATCTGCCAATGCAGGGCTGTGTGGCCTTATCTATGGGGTTCTTCTGAGACAGTTGGCACGGACGTGAATATTCACAGCACTGGGAGGGGTCTCTATCTTGCTCACTATACAGTGGCACACAGCCACAGAGTCTGTGTTGAGTATGTGTGTATAGTAAAGCAACTGGAAGAGGTTACATGAATTCATAGATACTTAAATTGGTTCTTTTTGTATAAATAATAAACCATTAGCAGTCAGGTGATTACTTTGTTGGCAAAATAGAGATATATGGGAATTACAAGGCACTAACCCACCCCCACCCCACCCACTTCGAGCACAGCAAATTATACAAAAGGAGTAAAAAGGGAGATTTGTCACTCTACAGGCCTGTATACCTGTTTACGATATCAGAACCCATCGGATTTCTCCACAGTGAGTCCCGTCTGTGAGAGAGAGACTAGCTTTTAAAAGGGCTGTCCTGTAACCCCATGTCCCCTCCCTAATCAAGCCCACACCAAACCTACAGGCTACAGACAGCAGACTGAGTATAGCTACCAGGGAATCTGGAAAAACAACAGGTATTGATGATATATTGATTTGTTTTAAGTTAACTTTACATTGATAAAGCATTGGAATTTTTTAGGGATCCGGTAATTGTCTTTTCCTGCTTATATGCTAAAATGCAACACTGGCCTCTTTATAAAGAAGTTCTAAAAAATATCATACATTCTCAGAGGAATTGTGGGGAGGGCAGCCAGCATCCTGTTTTGCACATAGAAGCTGGAGGTGTATTTCCAGAACACTTTCTCACCGACAAACCCTCACTTAGAGCCCTGCAATTAAAACCTGGAATTGTGGGCTTTGATTGACACATCCCAGGAACACTCACTGCTACGGACAGCCTAGCTAGTGGTAGCCTAGCGGTAAGCAGCAGCCCTGTGCTTTAGTCATGTTATTAACCATTCCTAAACCAGCAAGCCCAGGGGTCGAACCCCAGCAGTGTGACATGCTCTGCTATGCTCTGTGCTCCTTCTTTAATCACGTGATGATGAGCGGCAATGCTGAGGCAGTCAGTGATTCAGATAGGCAGTGGAAATTTGGACCTAGTCATGTTTGACCCAATTATGGGTTTAGACTCAGAGACTATGTAATATAGACATTTGTACATGAAAGCACACGATTGAAATCTAAGCCCATTTATGGGATGGAATGCTGGTATTTACCTTCCAATGACCGGGGATTTGCTACCATTCAGAGTGTTAGTCCTCTCCCAAGGTTTTCTGGGCATGTCTGAGGAAGAAACAAACAAAAACATTAGATATATTACAGTGATAGAACTGAACCACTATCAGGAGACAAAACAAATACAGATACAGATAAACCACAGATTGAAAACTATTAGCTAACCTAGAGACACAAATACATCTGTCAAACTACATTAACTTCTGGCCAATACTGACTAGGATCTTGGTGGTCTGAATGTGGAAGGTGCATGTTGCTGTTCTGGTCCTTTATATCTCTGACCACTACAGTCCTGTACTGTATACTAGACTTAACACCACTCACCTGGTGTGCTACAGGCTGACACTTTGGGAGTTGTGGTGCCCTCGCCGCTCTCATCCTATTGGAGAGAAGCACAGGGCGTTCAAAAGTCAGAAGTTATAGGTCAGGCAGCTTCAGATAAACAGGTGAGAAAATATGACCTATTTTTAAGTTAATAATCCACTGAAGGAGAGCCATTGGTCCTCTTTAATGTCACTAATGACCACCAAAGAGAAACATATGAAGCTCCAAAGACATCCAGAAGAGGGAAAACAAACACCAGGCTACTGAATTATAGATGGGTAAAATATAAGTCCCATAATAAGTTGCATGGACTCACTGTGTGTGCAATAATAGTGTTTAACATGATTTTTGAATGACTACCTCATCGCTGTACCCCACACACATTCTGAGTGTACAAAACATTAGGAACATCTTCCTAATATTGAGTTGCACCCCCTTTTGCCCTCAGAACAGTCTCAACTCGTCTGGGCATGGACTACAAGGTGTCGAAAGCGTTCCACAGGGATGCTGGCCCATGTTGACTCCAATGCTTCCCACAGTTGTGTCAAGTTGGCTGGATGTCCTTTGGGTGGTGGACCATTTTTGATACACATGGGAAACTGTTGAGTGTGAAAAACCCAGCAGCGTTGCAGTTCTTGACACACTCAAACTGGTAACGCCTGGCACCTACTACCATACCCCGTTCAAAGGCACTTAAATCTTTTGTCTTGCCCATTCACCCTCTGAATGGCACACATACACAATCAATGTCTCAAAGCTTAAAAACCCTTCTTTAACCTGTCTCCTCCCTTTCATCTACAGGTGACATTAATAAGGGATGATAGCTTTCACCTGGTCAGTCTGTCATGGAAAGAGCAGGTGTTCCTAATGTTTTGTACACTCAGTGCACTAAGGTCCCTCAGTCGAGCAGTGAATTTCAAACACAGATTTAACCACAAAGACCAAGGAGGTGTTCCAATGCCTCGCAAAGAAGGGCACCTATTGGTAGATGGGTAAAGAAAAGCAGACATTAAATATCCCTTTGAGCATGGTTAATTACACTTTGGATGGTGTATCAATACACCCAGTCACTATAAAGATACAGGCATCCTTCCTAACTCAGTTGCCGGAGAGAAAGGAAACCACTCAGGGATTTCACCATGAGGCCAATGGTGACTTTCAAACAGTTACAGAGTTTAATGGCTGTGATGGGCGAAAACTAAGGATGGATCAACAACATTGTAGTTACTACACAATACTAACCTAAATGACAGTGTGAAAAGAAGGAAGCCTGTACAGAATACAAATATTCCAAAACATGCATCCTGTTTGCAATAAGGCACTAAAGTAAAACTGCAAAAAAAATTACAAAGCAATTTACTTTATGTTCTGAATACAAGGAGTTATATTTGGGACAAATCCAACACAACACTTTACTGAGTACCACTCTTCATATTTTCAAGCATGGTGGTGGCTGCATCATGTTATGGGTATGCTTGTCATCGGCAATGAATAGGATTTTTGTTGGATAAAAAGAAACGGAATAGAGCTAAGCACAGGCAAAGTCCTAGAAGAAAACCTGGTTCTGTCTGCTTTCCAACAGACACTGGGAGACAAATTCACATTTCAGCAGGACAATATCCTAAAACACAAGGCCAAATATACACTGGAGTTGCTTACCAAGACGACATTGCATGTTCCTGAGTGGTCTAGTTACAGTTTTTACTTAAATCTTCTTGAAAATCTATGGCAAGACTTGAAAATGGCTGTCTAGCAATGATCATTAACCAATTTGACAGAGCTTGAAGAATTGTAAAAATAATAATGTGGAAATATTGTACAATCCAGGTGTGTAAAGCTCTTAGAGACTTACCCAAAAAGACGTACCCAGCTGTAATTGCTGTCAAAGGTGATTCTAACACGTATTGTCTCAGGGGTGTGCATACTTATGTAAATACTTATATTTCTGTATAAAACTTTCAATAAATTTGCAAACATTTCTAAAACATGTTTTCACTTTGTCATCATGTGGTATTGTGTGTAGGTAGGATAAAATATATATTTAATACATTTTGAATTCAGGCTGTAACAACAAAATGTGAAATAAGGCACTGTAGATGCTGTCAGGCAGGAAATACAGAGATGACCTTTCCCTGACCTGTCTGTCGGTCTGTCTGTCAGTCATACTCACAGCTCGCTGCTCTGGCTCAGGCGATGATCCCTTCTCTGCAATTCTTCTCCTGAAAAACAATACAGAATATTAAGATAGATTCCCAACCTCATAACACGTTATACTGTATGCCTAAACCAAAATAATCTAACTTCTCACAGCAAATGACTTTTAAATAATATTTGGCTGACCCCGACAGCTACATGGTCTGCAATGATATGGTAAGATTTATTGTGACAAGACATTTCCTCCTCCATCCTCAATATTGTCCTCTCATGTTGTAGATGGGGATGTAATGTAATGTCACCTTCTGGCCAGCAGGGCGCTCATCTCCTCCATCAGCCCCCCTCCTCCAGGTGCTCCTCCCAGAGGACCGTTCCCTCCAGGTTTGGCCCCTGCAGAGCCAGCCAAGCCACCAGCCATGGCTACAGCCAGAGCAGCTGCCGCATCACCACCACTATCACTCTGGGGGGACAGAGAGAAGGACATGACAGTGTTGTAGTGGCAGGCCATGTTACAGAGGCACATAACTGGGGGTCAGGTATGGTGGAGTACAGTATATGGAGGAGTGAAGAACAGTATGGCTACATGATTTGTGTGACTGTTGCTGGATAAGCCCCCTATCCTGGGATGAGGATATGGGATGTGACAAACAGTTTGTGTCTGTGCAAGGGTAGGGATGTTTGTGTTTCTGTGTGGGTCAGCCTCTCACCCTTGGCACTTTACGCAGTTTGGCTCCAGCGAGGGCAGCAGCCAGCCCGGACAGGGGGCGGTCCTCCGACGGGGAGAAGAGGCCGGGTGGCAGGGGAGGGGCTTGGGGGAGGGGGAGGGTGGGCCTGGCCACCGGGGGGAGGTGGAGGTCCGGGTGGGGGAGGGGGCCCCGCCACTGGTAGGAGTGGGGGGTAAGGGGGGAGGGGGAGGAGGGCCTGGTGGGGCAGCAGCCGTGTGGGTCACAGTGGAGCTGGGAGGGAGGGGGGGAGGGGGAGGAGGGGTGGGCAGCACCAGAGTCAATGCTGTGTCTGTTTGGGGGGGGGGGAAGAGTAAACGATCATTATCAAACTTTGGGACTCACAGAAAGAGCAGAGTCAGGAGTTCTCTCCTGTTTAGTTTTCTCCTCACATACAAAACTCAGGCTTCCTAAAGTACCCATTCTATATTTACCGTCAATACTAACATTATAAGGCTTGACCATTTATTGGTAAACTTTATACTTTGAAACTTGATTTTGAAGACATGGTATGAACATGCTACATCCACTTGTTGTTTGTCATACAACATGCATGCACATTAGTGAGTTATGGCCTAAATGTATCCATTTGACGGAAGCAAATGGAGACATCCCACACATAAACAAGGCAGAAAATGTACACACAAACACATAGACGCACAGTGCAAAATGCATTGGACACAGGAACTCTAGCAGCCTAAGTTAGGTCAATATCTGTATAAGAGCAGCCCTAAACCATTGAACCACAGAGAAGTATTAACTCTAATAATTAGCTTGTAAAAAAATCATTGTGATTCCTCAACACAGACAGATGATTGGATCAATAAGCCATAATGGAATGTGCCCATATTGAGCTCCTGTCAATGAGGATCAGTCCAAGTGGGAGAAATAGACTGAATCTACATATAAATGCTACTAAAGAGTTACTCAAGGGTAAGTTGTAATACACAAAAATATGGCACTTTATAAAGTTAAAAATATAGTATAATTAATGCTAATGCAGTATTTGAATTATGTAACTCGAAAAATTTCAAACCACAAAGGTTTTCAGAAAGATTTAGAAGAACTACTATTGAATTAAATGTTATTTCCAATAAAGTTGATAAGGTAATCAGATAAACGTGAGGGCAGGTTTAGGGAGAATAATAAATAGCTTGTCCTCATTTGACATGCAAATTGGTAAATAGAGGAACGCTCTATCAGTATACACAGACAGTGCAGTGGTGGCTTGAATACTAAATGAATGATAAATATCAAATGCAGAGGACACGTGATTTATCTGCTAATAATTCTATTCAGCAGAGGGAGAAATTATAATTTATACATGATTGATTCCAGCCGCTAATCTTACCCTGGATAACAGTGAAACACCCTCTAAAGACTACCACAGAGTTTGGCCAATTAAGTCATTTCATAATGGAAATACAACCAACATTTCTGTTAATTTCTCAGCATTAGCGACCCTCCCCATCCCCTGAAACATACTGTAGCGTCATGATAACAAACCTAATCAAGTGAACATGGATGGAGCAGAAATAAAAGCACTGTTCAGTCAGCTCTCCATCCGTCAGTCAACTCTCCATCCGTCAGTCTCTTACTATTTGTAACACATATACAATCCTACTGTCACCAGACCCAGTAGGCTTGATTAACACTGACATGACAAGTGAGGTTGAAAAGTAATGGTAAAATAATAAGGTCATCACAATGGTGAATTGCTGAAAAATAATAATTTGAGGTGAGAAAATAAACAAGCAAAAGAGAAACAACAAGACAATGATCCTTCCAGTGATCTCTAGATGGATCAGAGCCCCCTGTCTGTCAGAGGGCAAACACACATGCATGTCAAGGCCCAACAACCAGACTCCATTCAAACCCACGAGAGATCACCAGACAACTCAAGACCATGAGCAACAGCATTGACATGCATGGTATGAGCATGCTGACCAAGGTGAGCCAGACAGACACACCTGACCAACATAGATTGACAAGCACGTACAGACCATTCTCAGCAGCCACACAGAACCCAGCCACAGCCACATTAGCCATGCTAGTCATAGCTGCAGCCAGCATTGGCACCCAGAGTTGGGCCCAGTTGGTTAGGGCAGACCCCCTGCTCCCTGGCACCCCATTAGTGGGTGAGTGGAGGTAGAGGTGGAGGTAGAGAGAGAGGCTGAGAGGTGAGGCCTTACCCTGCTGGGCCAGAGGGTCTGCAGGCTGAGAGGCCTCTGGAGCCGCGGAGCAGGAGTCTCCCAGCACAGAGAGGTTTACAGAGAGGTCAGTAGATGCAGGGGGAGCTGTGGAAGGAGAAGGGACAATAGCAGGCTGGGATGAGGGAGAGGACACAAGGGGAGCGATGTGGGAGACGACGGGCGACTGCTGGCAGGATGACGACAGGGAGAGAGGGGGCAGCGGTGGAGGGGGAGGCGGGGTGGGAGGGGGAGGCGGGGTGGGGTTGCTGCTGTTACCGATGGTGACAGGTGAAGGAGCAGGGAACATGGGGGGCCCATTGGGGGAGGGAGAGGGGTGTTTCTGTGACAGGGGGCTGGGGGTCGGGATGGCGATGACGGGGCGAGGGCCGGTGGCCTTGCCCGGCGGGCTGCTGATCATGACGGGGGGTGAGGGAGGCAGGGGGCTGAAGTTGGTTGCCGACCACACCACTGACTTGGTGGGGGTTGCCGGGGCTGGGGCGGGGGGCATGGGTGGGACAGGCTGTCGCCTGGGGACTGTGGCGTAGTGGGGCAGGACCGGGTGGAAGGCGGAGCCTAGAGAGGTGGCGAATCGGGAGGCAGAGTGTCGTAGAGGCGGGGTGGGGGGTGTTGCAGAGGAGGGTGACGTGGTGGGCGGAGGGTAGTTGGGGGTGGTAGGAGACACAGACGTAGAGGAGGTCTTGGAGGAGTACTCTGGAGGCGGAGGGGTGTAGAGGGTACTTTCAAATGCTACACACATCAGATGGACAGGACAGGACAGGAGGGGAGAAGCAGCCACCGTGCAGCCACACAAGAGGGAAAGAACACAGAAGAGGAGAGAGAGAAAGGGGGAAACAGAAAGAAGAGAGAAGGGGCAAATGAAGCAGGTAACTGGCAGACCTAAATCTTTTTTGGTTCTTTCTCTGACAGAAAGGATGCTACTATTAGCACACAAGGTTAGACCAAACCAGAGGCAGACTCTATAAACAATGTGTCATTATGTGTTCACATGGATAGAGAAGCAGTAGAAAACCATGGACCGTCGTTCTTTCAGGAGGGAGCACTTGGCTTGAGCCCCTCGGTGGATGTAGCCTGATCTAGTCATTCCATAAGTGTCAAAGGCTTTTATTGACAATTACATTAAGTTTATGCAAAGACTCAATATTTGCAGTGTTGACCCTTCTTTTTCAAGACCTCTGCAATCCGCCCTGGCATGCTGTCAATTAACTTCTGGGCCACATCCTGACTGATGGCAGCCCATTCTTGCATAATCAATGCTTGGAGATTGTCAGAATTTGTGGGTTTTTGTTTGTCCACCCGCCTCTTGAGGATCGACCACAAGTTCTCAATGGGATTAAGGTCTGGGGAGTTTCCTGGCCATGGACCAAACATTTCGATGTTTTGTTCCCCGAGCCACTTAGTTATCACTTTTGCCTTATGGCAAGGTGCTCCATCATGCTGGAAAAGGCATTGTTCATCACCAAACTGTTCTTGGATGGTTGGGAGAAGTTGCTCTCGGAGGATGTGTTCGTACCATTCTTTATTCATGGCTGTGTTCTTAGGCAAAATTGTGAGTGAGCCCACTCCCTTGGCTGAGAAGCAACCCCACACATGAATGGTCTCAGGATGCTTTACTGTTGGCATGACACAGGACTGATGGTAGCACTCACCATGTCTTCGCCGGACAAGCTTTTTTCCGGATGCCCCAAACAATCGGAAAGGGGATTCATCAGAGAAAATGATTTACCCCAGTCCTCAGCAGTCCAATCCCTGTACCTTTTGCAGAATATCAGTCTGTCCCTGATGTTTTTCCTGGAGAGAAGTGGCTTCCTCGCTGCCCTTCTTGACACCAAGCCATCCTCCAAAAGTATTCGCCTCACTGTGCGTGCAGATGCACTCACACCTGCCTGCTGCCATTCCTGAGCAAGCTCTGCACTGGTGGTGCCCCGATTCCGCAGCTGAATCAACTTTAGGAGACGGTCCTGGCGCTTACTGGACTTTCTTGGGCGCCCTGAAGCCTTCTTCACAACAATTGACCCTCTCTCCTTGAAGTTCTTGACAATCCAATAAATGGTTGATATAGGTGCAATCTTACTAGCAGCAATATCCTTGCCTGTGAAGCCCTTTTTGTGCAAAGCAATGATGACGGCACGTGTTTCCTTGCAGGTAACCATGGTTAACAGAGGAAGAACAATGATTTCAAGCACCACCCTCCTTTTAAAGCTTCCAGTCTGTTATTCTAACTCAATCAGCATGACAGACTGATCTCCAGCCTTGTCCTCGTCAACACTGTGTTAACGAGAGAATCACTGACATGATGTCAGCTGGTCCTTTTGTGGCAAGGCTGAAATGCAGTGGAAATGTTTTTTGGGGGATTAAGTTCATTTTCATGGCAAAGAGGGACTTTGTAATTAATTGCAATTCATCTGATCACTCTTCATAACATTCTGGAGTATATGCAAATTGGCATCATAAAAACTGAGGCAGCAGACTTTGTGAAAAGTAATATTTGTGTCATTCTCAAAACTTTTGTCCACGACTGTAAATTAAGCAAATTATGCCATGACTGACTGTAACTGACAGATGCACAGACTCGGGTAGAAACTTATCCCAAGATAACAAAATGCTTCAATATTTGGGTGACTACACAGTTTCAATCACCACTCACTTGCAAGTCACGATTACCGAACTTTCTATCAGAATGATAGGTAGCCTAGAGGTTAAGAGCTTTGGGCCAGTAACTGAAAGGTCGCTGGTTTGAATCCCAGAGCCGACTAGGTGAAAAATCTGTCGATGTGCCCTTGAGCAAGGCACTTAATCCTAATTGCTCCTGTAAGTGGCTGCGGAAAAGAGCGTCTGCTAAATGACCCCCCCCCCCAAAAAACATTTTTTTTTTAGATATATATATATATATTTTTTTTTTTTTTTTAAGCCAGAAACCTCTACTAAAGAAACTATTTGAAATGACAAGGAGTTTGCATAAAGTCTTACTGAACCACACAAAAAAAAATCCCATAATAAAGTTTCTCATGGTGCTTTTTAGTCAATACCCCCATCAGTATTATCCCCTCATCTCTCATGTACATAACTAGTGAGGCGAGGTGGGGGTAGAATTGCTGGATGGTCACGTTGCCAGAGCTTGACTGCATGCTGAGAATGATCAATGCTCTGTTTTGTTGTGTGGCCCCAGCCAGCATAGCCCTAGAGTTAGCCTTGCGCTGAGGCCACTCCCGCCATATATTTACTAATCCTTTGTGCCGGCCTCATTCTGCTCCACTGACCCTCAGTGGCAGGCTGCACACACACACACACACACACACACACACACACACTCCTCCGCCTGATGGGAAGCCTGGGCTCCCCGCTGAGAGCTACGCTAGGCACACCTCCACATACTATAGCATATAGACACACTCGTTCACATATACTCAGGTACGCCGGTACACACACATGACATACCCACATCACAGACACATGACATGCACCAACATTCTTGCCCTACCTTCCTAACCACTTTCCCTCTATGTAACATTACTTTCTTACAGACCATGTCCTTTAATTGGCTGTTGTTGGGTTGTTCTGAATGCTCATTGTGTTTCTGATGCATCTCCACTAACTGGAAACATTGCTCATGTATGATTCTCCCACTCTCTCTCTCTCTCTCTCTCTCTCTCACCTCTCCTCCTTCTGTTCCTCCAGCCAGAAGAATAAATTGTCCCAATTTTTCCCTCTCTCCCCCTCCCCCCGTCTCTGCCTTTCTCCCTCTTCTCATTTCTCCTCCCTCTCGTTCCCCTCTTCCTGCCCGTCTCTGGGTGGTTAGTGGCTACAGGCAGGCCCCAGCTTTGCTCTGTGATCCCAGAGTAGTAACCCATAAAGACACACACACCTCTCACTAACCCCAAAATGGACATCCACTCCTCCATCTCCTCCATACAGACTAACTAGAGTGGCCTAAAGAAGAGAGAGACCAGTGGAGTGCGGGGCGGGCCTAGAACCACCACCGGGATTTCCATCAGAGGACCGTTAGCAATGGCTAGATTAAGGAGGATGAGATTCTCTATTCACACAAGGAACTCCTTGTTGTTTCTAATGTGATAAGGGCTATAGGTAATATGAGACAGACTCTACAGAGATACGGATACATCAAGAAGCTCATATCAGACGGGATCCGTGGATGCCCTATTAGCAGACCTCTCCTCTACAACACTGGGTTGGTTTAAGTGTTCAGTTAGAGGTTGAGCATGGTTATTTACACACAGCATGACCTCCATAGACACTGACTACATCTAATGGGATACTAAACATACTATGAATGGAATTGGAAATCCAACCAAAAGCTTTTGCAAGGCTATGTACAGTAGGCCAACAGCGCACATGTATGTTTTTCCTGCAGGAAAGACAACTAGAAGCATATGAAAAGTGCATTCTCACACTTCAAACCCAAAAGCACCCCAAATGTTAACATGCAGTGCAACATTAATTATTGTGTTTGTCTTGTCGTGTACTGTGGAAATTGTGTCGTTATAAATTTATTGTACAAAATGCCCTAGGAAAAATAAAGTCTACTCTATACCATAATGCCTTTGACATGTTCATGGTAAAGTTAATGTGATGGCCCCTCCCCCTGGGCAGGCAGGCAGCATGTTAGCCTGGAGAATCTAGCCCAGCTAATGTGATGAGTGTGGCACTGAACCATGCCAACACTGGCTCCCCCACTGGCTTAATATGTAGCAGCAATGCCCATCTCCCATTCTTGCTCCTCCCCCAACCAACCCCCAGAACCAGAGTCCCTCACCTGCCTATGCTTTGCTGGGCAGGCTGGCTGGGGTACCCTACCATCCACCAACACATAGACAAAGCCATAGCCATCCCTGGTCAAACAGGAGTAGGAGGAGAGGGGGGAGAGTGTGTGCTTGCCTGCTCGCTGAGAGAAGCGCCTAAACACACAAACACTCCCCCCATGCCCTAGCGCCACTCAAGCTGTTCCCCATGCCCATCCAACACATAGGCAGATGGGCAGAGAGAGATGGGAGAGGAGCCTGGCTATAAGTCACACTAAGTAACGAAAGGCCAGGGATGGCTGAGTATAGTCAGCATCCGCTTCAGACTCCAGCTAAATGCCACGCTGGGATTTGACATCCAAGACGGCTCTTTGGAAGTACTACTGCTAAATGAAGTGAGAGCTAAACCCACTCACCTGTTGGTGACTATTCTGATCTGTCATCTTGTTCTGTCCTGTGACTTCAGTGTTTATTGTCCTACCTTGTTCTGTCCTAAACATCAGATGTGTGCATATGCGTGTTGGTGTGTGTAAAAGTATGTGCATGCATGTGTGTAAGTATGTGTGAGTGTGTTTAACGTGTGTGTAAGAGGTAAGTAAAAAGCCTTGGCTGCTCACCGGCGTTGGAGATGCGTCTCCCTCTCTCCCAGTCCATCTGCTCTCTGTCCAACTGCTGCTCCTGGTGCGTCTCGCTCTCCATCCTCTCCCTCTCCTGCTTTTCTCTCTCCATCAGCTCCCTCTCTCTCTCCAGCTGCTCTCTCTCCTTCTCCTGACGCTCGCACTCCAGGCGATCCCGTTCAGCGCGCTCCCTCTCCCTCTCCCTCTCGGAGCGCTCCCGTTCTCGCTCCTGGCGCTCCCGGTCTTGGCGTTCCCGTTCGCGCTCCCTCTCCTGCATCTCACGCTCCAGCCGTTCCCTCTCCTGGCGCTCCCGCTCCAGTCGATCACGCTCCACCTCCTTCAGCCGCTGCAGCTCCAGCAGC